GCTGGGGCCTGCCTTCCTCAGGAGCTGTCTGCCCCAGCTCAGCAGGATCTCATCCACATTTCTGACCTTAGTCCAACTTCGCTGGCTCCATCTCCTGACCTAGGGATCCTGATAGGTTGGAGTCTTCCCCTGTACTGCACCTTGCCCCTCTGGCTCTCCCTGCCTGCTGCCAGTTGGTTTGCTCTGTGGGACTCCCCGCTGCAGCGGCCTGCCTTCCTCAGGAGCTGTCTGCCCCAGCTCAGCAGGATCTCATCCACATTTCTGACCTTAGTCCAACTTCGCTGGCTCCATCTCCTGACCTAGGGATCCTGATAGGTTGGAGTCTTCCCCTGTACTGCACCTTGCCCCTCTGGCTCTCCCTGCCTGCTGCCAGTTGGTTTGCTCTGTGGGACTCCCCGCTGCAGCACAGTGGGGAGAAGTGGCAGCGGAGTCACCCAAACAGCCCTAGCCAGCAGGGCTTCACAGGGAAGAGAAGCACATGAGAAAACTGGGGGGCGGGGGAGGGACAGAAGCACATTCCTGTCTACCATAAGGAGCCTGCAGAATTGAGAGTTGAAGGGAGGAGTTCCTAGTGGTTGGAGCACCATGGTGCCCCCAAGAGGATGGACCACATGGGGGCACTGTTTGGTTGCTCTAAAAACAAAAGTGTCATTTGTTTTTCTTGAATAATTGCATGCGAAGAGACTGAATAATTGGATTTACTGCCAGCTGTCGTGACAGAAAAGGAACTTGTTTAAAAGAGACACGCTCAGGTTAAAAGTCATCTGTTACAAACACAGTATATCTGTTTACCTGTGCTACTGATAAAAATGTGGTGACCAAAACTGCAGTGATTTTACAAATCTCATGTTCTTCTTACTGCTCAGACCATTTAATCATCTGTTAAAAACACAAACACCAAGTAAAATAGATAAATCTGGTTCACTTTTCTTTCCAATCAGTTTCCCTTTGGGTCCAGTCCCCCAGCACTGTGTGTATTTGGACAGCAAGTGCTGCAGGAAATCTTGAAAGAGAAAAGCCAATCACAACACATTGCCACAAACATGACATGTCCCAGTGGGGGGTTTTGTAAAATCTCAGAACCCAAATGTGCCATCGTATGCTACTTAAAGGCTATTTTAGCTTTGCAGTAGCGGCATTCTGCCTCTTGCCAGCACAAGCCAAGGGGTCCAGCAGCAGGACCTCTGCAGGAACTCAGCCAGTCTTCCTCTCAGGGACCCGGGCAGCGCACATGAGAGTGACTCCCATGACGGCAGGAGAGAGCACAGCATGCTCCGCTCTGCAGGGTGTGCACTGGCACAACAGAGAGCTGCCTTTCACTGGAGAGGTGACATGACTTTGCGTGTGACTCTGAAAGGTACCCGCTGCAGAGGCCAAAGGCTGGCCTCTGTCCAAAGTGCAGCACAGGGATATCCCAAACCAGTGTGTGGCCCAGGCCTCTGACATGGAGGGACCTCTATAGAGTTCTGACCCTAAGGCTGCGTCTAGATTGGCATGATTTTCCGGAAATGCTTTTAACGGAAAAATTTTCCGTTAAAAGCATTTTCGGAACAGAGCGTCTAGATTGGCATGGACGCTTTTCTGCAAAAGCACTTTTTGTGGAAAAGCGTCTGTGCCAATCTAGACGCGCTTTTGCGCAAAAAAGCCCCGATCGCCATTTTCATGATCGGGGCTTTTTTGTGGAAAACAAATCTGAGCTGTCTACACTGGCCCTTTTGCACAAAAGCTTTGCGCAAAAGGGACTTTTGCCTGAACAGGAGCAGCATAGTATTTCCGCAAGAAGCACTGATTTCTTACAGTAGGAAGTCAGTGCTTTTGCGGAAATTCAAGCGGACAGTGTAGACAGCTGGCAAGTTTTTCCGGAAAAGCGGCTGATTTTCCGGAAACACTGGCCAGTCTAGACACAGCCTAATGGTTTGTGGGGCTTTGTATGATAACATGCGGCAACCACATCTAGCCCCTTGGCAAACTATGGCCTTGCCCCACATCTCCATGTACCCTGACACCAACGTGGAATGATTCCAGTCACAGCAGGTAGGAAAGCTTGATTTAATTCTAGTGGAATCATGTTTTTCATTTATATTTTTAGTTTGCTTCTCAGTAGTTGATAACCCTAAAGCAGGCTGACTTTCAGCTACAGCCAGCCTGTCCACTCACTGCGGTGCTTCTTTTTGCTCACCATGAGCGCACGCTATATCTATGCCCATTTATTAATGCCATTATGTAATTTAACATTTATGCAGCTTCTTCATTTTTAAGTGTATTCCATTAGAACATGGCGAATGGAACATTTCTTACTTCCTAGACGTCTTTTTTTACCCATGAGTTGTGTCAAGCTCTATTTGAATGGAAATTCAATTTAAATTAAAGTGCACAAAGCCCACATTGTTATTAAAATACAACTACCTTACAAGTGCAGACGCATTGGAGGAAAGCACACATCAGCATTAAAACCATTGTTAAAACACCCTGGCTGGTCCCAGGATATGACAGACAAGTGGGTGAAGTGATAGCTGATGCTGGCCCAGCTTCTGTGGGTGGGAGGTACAAGCTTTCAAGCTCTGCTCTGGGGAAGGACGCTTGTTTTCTTCCCCAGATCCAAAGAAGAGCTCTGTGAGGCTCAAAAGCCCAACGGCCACCAAAAGAAGTTGGTCTAATAAACTCGCCTGCCTTGTCAGAAGAGAGATGGCGGAGCCGTAGAGTCGTGCTCCAAGATGGCGGAGCCGTAGAGTCGTGCTCCAAGCGCGGCTGGTGATAGCTAATGTCCCATCTACCACAAACATCTCACTGTGGAGGGAATCGGGGATGGTTCTTTGGCTGACAGGAAGGGTTTACGTGCATATAGCTGGGCCCTAGGCAGCCACGACTGCCACAGTTTCTACTGGTGTCAGGAGACCTGATGGGAGCAGAGGTTTCACCTGTGCATCTCTGGCCTTCTCTTGTGGCCTAGTGAACTGGGCCGGCCCTTTCCCTGTGGCCGAGATGTTCCCGCTGTCTGCATCACGGCTGGGGCCTGGACAAATGCAGGAGAGAGTCCCTGATGTGGGGCACCTGGCAGGTTTGTGCCTACAACTCGGCATTGAGCCATAGGAAAGCAGGAGCTCTAGCTGGGCCTGATACGCTGACAACACAGAGGATTGCCCCTGTGCGGTGTGAGAGGCACCCTGCCAGCCGCTCCCTCCCATTTGGACTCAGGCTGCCACCGGTCCAGGTTGTCCCAGGACCGACCCTTGTATGAAGTAGCTGTCCTGGGAGATGTCGTGACCGCTCAGCTGTGCAGGTCTAGGGGCGCGGTATCATCCTGCCTGTCCCACTCGCTCCACCCCACAGAGCATCCCGCAACCCTAACCCTGTCCCAGCCGCGGCCCCTTGCCACTCAGAGGCACGAGCCAGTTTGACTCCCCTACAGGCAGATGCCACTAATCCCTTGGGAAACACAATAGCGGAGACGATGGGGCACGCACCAGCTTGCACACTCAGAGCACTTTGCTAATGCACTATAGCCGAGGCTGCTTCTGGGCCCTGCTGGCTCCGAGCTTACGGCAGGGGTCTCCCACCTCCTTAACACGAGATTCCCTTTGCAATCCAGGGTCTGCCCTGCCCCCGCCTCCTTCCCGCCCTTCTCACGCCATCCTCCCTCCCTCCCTCCCGCATCAGGCAGGGGCAGAGGGTTGGGCGCAGGCTCTGGGCTTGGGCGTTAGTGTGAGAGGGGCTCTGAGCTGAGCCTGGGGCAGGGGTTGGAGTGCAGGAGGGTCAGGCTCCTAAGGGAGGCTCCGAGCTAGGGCAGGGGCTTCGGTGCAGCAGGGGTACATGCAGGCTCCAGCTGGACACTGCTTACCCCAGGGGAGAGAGGGTGCAATGGGGCTAAGCAGGCTCACCCCTGCCCTGACTCTGCACCACCCCGGAAGGCAGCCAGCAAACTCCCTCGCCCTGTTGTGCCCCCCTCCGTTCTGAAGAGATAGCTACAGGGTGGGAGAGGGGGCCCCTCCTCGCCCTGCCCTGCCCAACAAGCAGGCACAGCGCCCCGGAAAGGGGCAGGAGGTGCACAGCAGTGGGGGGAGGGGCAGCTGAAGGCACTCGATAGCCTCTTGGCCAAACCCGTCAGGATCCTGTCAGAGGCCCCAGGCTCTCCCGGTAGATCCCCATGCACTGGCTGGTGCCCCCTGGCTTAAGGCCAGCGATCCTCAGACTGTGTTACTGGCCAGCACGCCAGGGTACCCGCTGGCGGCCTGATGGGAGCCTTGCAGCGGGCCCGACGTGCTGCCCTGGGGCGGGTCCTCGCGCCGCGTAACCGATGGTGACGTGCGTCCTTGTAGCACGAGCCCCGTGATGCAGCATCGGGGGGTCCTGGCCAGATTATCTTGTAGCTGCCCAGGAGCCCCGGGACCAGAACTTATGACGTGCTAATAGTGAGACGGAGCAACAGGAACAGGGCTTTCTCCACCCCCACCAGTGCGGGGGAGCAGTTTAGGAAGCTCCTGCAAGTACAGCAGATGGGATCAGAGCAGCAGAGGCCAGGACACCTCTCCCGAGAGCAGTTACACTGACAACCTGCCCCAGTGCATGTGAAGTGACTAGTTCACGTGGCTAGTTGCACCGAGGTCACCGTCCGGCGGCCACGCCACGCCCAGAAAAGCAGAGATGCACCACAGCAGCCACGTGGAGGGCAAGCCGCGGGGGGGGACGTGCCGGCAGAGCCCAGCCCAGGAGCAAGTGCCACACACAGGCGACAGGCTGAGAGCGGGGATCCTCAGGGAACCCCCCCGAAGTGTGGCGAGGTGCGTCGGCCTCGAGGCAGTGATGAGGTGGACAATGTGGGTGAGAGATTTATCCCCTGTGTGGCTCCCCAGGGCTCCCCTCTGCTGCAGGGAACCTGCCCGTGGGGCCAAACTGGGCCGCAGGATGGGGCTGGTCTGCTCTAAGCCGTGCAGCAGACGGCGTGGCCGTGAGACGGTTCCTTAACCTCGGCGAACGGGGACACTGCTCCCTCGCACCAGCATGTTGTTGGCGACGCGCTGGGGAGCTCCGGCCAGGAGAAGCTCTTTCAATGCAGTGTTCTGTCCACACCCAGGGCCCCGAGCGCTGTGTTCCCACGGGCTGTGTACTGACTCGCACCTCACATCAAAACAGGTGCTGCAACTGCAACTAGCATTCAAGCCACGTGCTCCCAGGCTGACTTCCTGCGCCTGCGCCAAACATTCCCCTCCGAGAACCTGTGCTGCTGCCTCCACGTTGCAGGCAAGTGGCTCCACTCCACACCTGCGAAACTTCACGTGAAGAAGGGCCCCATTTCGGGGGCATTTAGGGTGTGTCTAGACCAGTGTTTCTCAACCTTTTTTTGCTCATGGCCCCTTCTGAGCCTCGTTTACCTCTGTGGCCCCCTCATAGCCACTGTTAGTTGGAAAAAAAGGTCCATCATTTACCAAATGTTCCGTTTTTTCCACGTGGCCCCCTAGAGGTAGGGCGTGGCCCCTGGGGAGCCATATGGCCCACAGTTGAGAACCACTGTCTAGATACATCCCACTGGCACCACAGGGATGTAAATTAGACATACCGAAATTGCTAATGAAACGGGGATTTAAATATCCCGTTGCATGAGGAATAAGGATCGGAAAAGGGTTTCCTTGTCGACCGATCCCCCTCTAGACTGCCATTTTTATTCTAATGAAGCACAGGATATTTAAATCCCTGCTTCATTAGCCATTTCGGTGTGTCTAATTTACACCCCTCTGGCGCCAGAGGGATGTATCTAGACACACCCTTAGGCTGCATCTAGACTGGCATGATTTTTTCTGTTAAAAGAATTTCCGTAAAAGATCGTCTAGATTCTGTGCAAAAGCATCCTTGCCAAAGTGCCATTTTAGCCATCGGGCTTTCTTGTGCAAAAAATGAAGGTGCCTGTCTACACTGGCCCTCTTGCGCAAGGGGGCTTATCCCTGAGCGGGAGCGGGAAAGTATTTGTGCAAGAAGCACTGATTTTGGACATTACAAAGTCAGTGCTCTTGCGCAAATTCAAGCGGCCAGTGTAGACAGCTGGCAAGTTTTTGTGCAAAAGCCATTGCAGTAGTGGTAAATGGCAGAAGATTTGATGGAGCCTAAATCAACAGAGGCCAATGAAAGGCCATCTAATGCTGTAACATTAGCGTTTCTCTACGTTATCCTGGAATATCTTATAAAAGACAAACTCAGAGCCCAATCTTGCAATCCCCTCCCCATCCCTCTGCCTTTACTCACAGGAGGATTTCATTCATGTTAAGGGCACTGCTCATGAATAAGATTTGCCACGTGAGTAAGGATTTGTGGTGTCATATGTGGATTGTGGTACAAATGATACAGAAGACTCACTTTACCCAGGACTGAAATGCGGCTACTTCTGGGGTCCTACTCATCAGCAGTTTCACAGCATAGAGAACACCACACAACAATTTAGGATGGAAAGTGAAGAATAGTACACCCAACAGAAAGTACTATCAGGGGAAGGCCAGCAGGGTAGGCACATGAAATGTTATTTATTAAAGTTGAATTTGGCCTGATTCTTTTCACTAGTTATTTGAAAAGTATCTCAGGAGCTTTGGCTCAAAATTTTCAGTCTCTGGCTGATGAAGGAAGCATCACAGCTCCTGGCTCAAATACTGGTCAGCTTGTTTTGGTTCACGTTTCTATTAACTTTCCTCCCTTTGTCAATATTACAAACTAATTATTAACAATTTTTCTCTGCATAGAAATTGCCTTGATCTGGCACATGTCTAAGGTCAGGAACCCCAGCCAGATAAGAAAGAGTCCGGCCATGCAGGTGCGATTTCTGTAGCGGGAGCCGGGGAGAGTTCACTGAGCCCAGCTCAACAAGGAAGCAGAGTTAAAACGGTCCCTTCCGACTCTGCTGGGATTTTAGTTTTATTCTCCCTTGCCAGGTGTGGGCATCTTGCCCCAGGAACATTCCGCAGATGCCAGTCCCGTTGCGTAGCCTCCAGGCTGCCTGATGATGTCGAAAAGTCTCCAGTTTCAGTTTAACTGCAGGATTCTAGAAAGCTCCCGTTCACAGCGCTTGAAGAGCTGGAGCGGCCGTGCCGGGCCGCGTTGCCGGCATTATGCTGCCCGCCGGCAGGCAGGAGTTAGCCGGCAGGGGCCAGAGAGACGTGGTGGATGGGGGAGAGACGAGCCCTGCGGTCGCTTTCGCCAAAGGTGACTAACAGCTGTGACCTCGCCCGCCTTGTCTCGGAGACCTGGGGATTGATGCGGCTGCAGACAGCTCCCCGTGTCCAGCCCGGGCCTGGGCGGCGAAGGTACCTGGCCCTGCCAGCGCAGCGGGTGACAGGAGACACACACAGCCTTGTCCATTGCGGGCCAGCACGTCAGGCTTAAAATCACTTGCGTTGCATCTTCCCTTTCAACCAGCCAGGCCCCAGCCACGCTCGGGCCCTGGGGTGCCCACGGAGCTCTGCTGTCCAGCCTCTTCCCAGAAGTGCAAGGCGCCTGCTTCCTGCTGCCCGGCCCCGGGGATCGCTCCCTGCCCAGCACCGAAGGGAGAAAACAACCAAGAGCCCATTGTCTGTTAGCAAGGGACACGGAGGCGCTTGACGCGCAGAGCCCCAGCTGGCACCAGAGCCGACTGTGCTCTGCTGTTTGCATTACAGCCCTGGGCACTTGGGAGGTGACCCCGGAGCGCCGCCGGCCGCCCCATTCTGCCGCTCAGTTCCGCCTACGCCCCAGCACGACGCACAGAGACCCCGTCCTCATCCCCTGCGCAGCTCCCAGCATGGCCCTTCCTCCCTGCAGCCGGCCGAGGGGAGGCCCGGCCAGGCGAGCCCCCCCTCCCGCCTCCCTTGGCCGGAGGCCGGCAGCTGTCCTGCAGGAGCGTCCTTCGAAAACCTTGGCAAGACCTTCAGAAAGCTGCACTGACCGGCCCTCCCATGCAGCTGCCGCTAGGAGAGCTCTGTGTCCCTGCTCCCGGAGCCCGGCCTTCCTGGGCCAGCTGCTCCTGCTCTGACACTGTCAGAGATCCGGGCGCGCTGGAACACGCCCCGCCCTCCCTGCCTGCCTGACCCTGCGGCAGCTGCTGCAGTCGGGAGTGTTCAGACACGGAACCTTTGTCCCCTCGCTGCGAATTCCTCCTGTGCCCCCGATGGACCCAGCACCCCTGTGTCAGTGCACCTGCCCGGCTGCCTCCGGGGCAGGCGTGGCCGAGGCGTCCCTGTGCGGCGCGCGGCAGGGCCTGGGCCAGGCGAGAGG